ACAGTAGTTGGCTTGACAAAAAGCAGAGTTCAGGTCCACGCCACTAAGTCCGGTCTTGAACTTGATCACCTACATACATATATAAAACAATGAAGTGGAGCCCAATAAATAATAACTCTGTAAAATGGTTATGAATAATGTCCTTACAGTATTTAAAATAGTCAGTTATCATCAGTGAATCAGTTTCTCATTTCATAATCATATTGCAATTATACCAGTCATACGTGGTATATCCATTAGTATAACAATACAGTAGGTCTTAAAAGACCAAACAATCATATTTGATGGCCATCAATACAGCAAATAGTAGTTCCAAGATTTCGAACTGACAGAGATCTCTGTAACGGTAACAGTAACAGTAACAGTAACAGATGCTATGGATGCCACAAATACATTTCACAAATAGGACAATCACTCATTCAGTTAGAAATCATTAGTTCAAAAACAGAGCATCTTATAAGTCAGAAAATACATATAATTGAACATATCTTTACAAGGTTGTTACTCATAATTGGCTCCCTGAATCACGTGATTAGAATGCGGCGTTTGACCTACAAGAAAAGAAATAAATTAGTAATATTTTATTGAGTATGGAAGATAAAATTTGAAAATGATGAATAAAGGAAGATTACCAGAACAAAGTGCCTCATCATTAAGGCAAAATTCTCTTACTGGTTGTATTATTCTATCTTTTCCATGTCGGCTGGTCGAAGAAGAACCGTGGTCAATGCAGCACCAACTTCAATATCCTTGATGGTGCTGTCGCTGACTTTTAAAAGTCGATCACCTATACGAATCTCAGGGAGCTAGGCGTCCTCGGGAAAAACGTCTATCTCTTCTCTAGGTCTGACTGACCTAGGCTTGTTTGCAAGTAGGGCATTAGTAGATTCGATTGAGGCTAGCCTTTTCTCGACCTTGACTAGCTTGGAGATCAGCACAGAGTCTTCAGGGTCCTTCTCCTCATCAAAAGGGACGATTGTTATTTTAGCCTTTGCTTTGGCCTTTTTCACCTTCTTTAGTTTTTAAACTGATTAAGGAGAAGAAGCAGATTGGACAGTGACGATGTCGGGCAATCTGGGGAGAAAGTCTTCAGCAGCTGCTGGTTTATGACCCATCTCCTCAGAAGTGGCGGTGATGGTCACTTTGGTGCCAAGTTTGAATATAGGGAGAGGGAGAGATAGGTTGGCAGGATCGTATGCGAGAGTGTCAACACATCACTGCTTTTTGCTGCTTGTCCTCCCAGCTGGAGCGTTTGTAGGTCAGCAACGACATTGGCGTTGAGTTGGCGAAATGTGTTGGGATGGAGCTAAGGTGGACGGTTGGTTCAAATGTGGAGGCTTGATGTCACGACCCAAACCTGTCTCTATAGGTTTAGTGTCATAACCGACCAATAATCATGGGATTACCAAAGACCTTTAACCTAAATATCATAATAAAAGGGGCTGAAACAAATATATAAAATACAATGTCCATAGAGCTGTGCAGACACACATGGGACAGTAATAGTAAAACTTATATACAGACATATGATGTCAAAATTTCATAAGTCATGCGCCACCATACATAAATTTCAAAAGGGACTTAGCCTTGTGTACATATAAACAAAACAAAACGAATAAAAACATCCGTAACATGGTTCACAAAAACTAGACTTCTTCTAACAGAACCTCCTCGAGAGGCACTGAGGCTGGCTGACAAACGGAACTTTAGGCCATCAACTCTGGGCCTGGTCACAGACCTGATCTCCTACATACATAATATAAAAAGTGAGCTAAAACCTAGTGAATAATAACAGAGTAAAGATTTTAATAAATGATGTCCATAACAGATTTAGATATCAATTCTCTCATCAAAATAGAAACACCCGCATGTTCGTATCAAAAACAGAGTCATGTTCATATGCATATTCAAATCATGTGTGGTGCATCCATTAGTATTAACATATCTTTTTGGTCAAGCATATCAAGCTCCATAAAGGAACCTCCGGTATCGAGTAACATATCTCATACGTGGGCTACGGTATTGTTTCCCCTAGGCAAGGGCTTAAGACACGGTATTATTTTCCCCAAGCAAGGGCCTCATTACCATAAGCCACATTATTATTTCCCCTGGGCGAGGGCCTCTGCTAAGGATACCACATAGATATTTCAAAGAATTGGATCATTATTTATATAATCACAAAATCACCTTTTGTATCATTCAGAAACAGTTCATATCACATCATAATGTTTAGAAAGTATTTCTTATAGAACATAGCTTTACTAAGTTATTACTCATAGATAGTTTCACAAATAGCTTCGATAGCAAACCAATGGATCAACAGCTCACGACGCGTGACCTACACAGACATAACAGATACACATATTGAAACACATGCTTGGATAGTACTTAACTTATTTCATTTTGTTCTTAGTGTATTTCTAAGCCTTATCCTCATTATTATGTCTTAACTAGGGCTTAAGAATGCCTAGGTTGCAATGAGGATGTCAAAATATGCTTCAAAACACTTAGTCAAATTTGCTGAAAATAGGGTCCTCGCTCGAGCGTAACTTTCTTTGCTTGAGCGGAGGCTCAAAAATAAGGGTGGTTGCTCGAGCGCAACCTCATTTGTTCGAGTGGTCTATAAACTCTGCAAAAGTACTGGTTGTGTGAATTTTTCACTCGATGGCTGCTCGACGGTCGCTCGAGTGTGTGACTGAGGTCTTCGCTTGAGCGCAACTCTAGTCACTCAAGCGGTCTGCAAAACTTGTAAACTTCTAGGAGCATACATTTTATGCTCGAGCCACCTTTTGGTCGCTCAAGCGCAGGTTTTGTTGCTCAAGCGGAGAAGCAGAATCTGAAATTTCCAGATCACTGTACATGACGCAAACTTCAAATTCAAAGCCTCAAAACTCATCATTTGGACCCAAAAGTTGAGAAAACACTTGGAAACTTGTAAAAACATCATGGATTAAGAATCAATACTCGAAATCAAAGCCCAAAAATAAGTGGATTCTTCGAATTAAAACGTGAATTATGTGTATACATACCATACGTGTATTGTCTTGGGTTCAAAACTTTCAAAACATAATCAAATGAGGTCCAATGGTGAAAAATGTCATGGATTAGTAAAACCATGTTATAATTACCACATGCAAGAGAGAAAAGCTTGACAATAACTTCTAAACTCCATGAAATGTACATGCATGCATGAGATGCTCTTCTTTTCTACTTCCTTGTTCAATTTTTGCTTAACTTAGCTTACTTCTCTAGAATTCATGTATGGAATAACTTAAAATCAAACCTAAAGGTTGAATTCTTACCTTAGATGTTCAATTATGCTCTAGAATGCTAATTCTTTGAGCTTGAAGGCCAAATGTCCAAGGTTCCTCCAAAATGCTAGCAATTCTTTGCTTAATCTCAACTTTCTCCTCTTCTCTCCCTCTCATGTTAGTTTGTTGTGTAGGTTCAAAGATGTGATGAAGAAAAAGATGAATGGTGGTACAAAGGAGCCTTATATGGGCTTAATTAAACTTGGCTTAAATTAAGCAAATGGGTCTTATTTATTCTAATTAATTCGTTCCGAATTGAATTTCAGTTAAACCTACCATAAAATTCTAAAAATTCCAACTAATACATAGACCAAGTCAATTTCGTGATTGGATGCTGATAAGGCCTTTAATTCGCAGAACAAAATAGAAACATAAACAGATATTCCTACCGTCGACAGATATAAACACAAATAATGCAATGCACATGCAATTAATTCAGAATTTCCTCTTAAGTAGTCATTAGGCATAATTAATCATGTTTAATCAACTAATCATAGGTTTGGGTTGTTATAATAGCGTCGAGCGATCGACATGGGTGTTCACGGACGACGACGATGACCATCGACCTGGGTGTTCATCAACGACCGCCGCTGACTGTTGACCACTGACCTAGGTAGACCATCGTCCACCTCTCTTTAGAATCTCCACCGGCAACGATGTTGCGCACTTGTATATGCACTATAACAAAAAAAGCCTTCGGTGACAGATTGATTTTGTCTCCAAATATCAAATTTTCGTCACTAAAGTGATCTGCGACGAAAAAAATTTGTCACCACATTCGTGGCTTATACGTCGTCACTGAAAGTACCTGGTGACGAAAAACAGTTTCATTGCCTATTTTTCATTTTTGGCGACGAAATATTTCGTCTCCAAATGTTGAATTTTTCGTCATCTAAAACATCAATTTCGTCACCAAAACTAAATAACATTTTATTTTAATTGTTTTTGACGACGAAATATTTCGTCACCAAATATATTTTAGTGACGAAAGTTTTCCTCACCAATGATATGGATTAAGGTGACAAAAAAATTCGTCACTAAAATGAGTAAAAAAGAAAATTATTCAATGACAAAAAATATTTTGTCACCAAATATTTCAATTTAGCGACGAAATTATTTGTTTCGTACTATATTATTACTGACAAAATTATTCATCATGTTTTTTGAAAACTAATAGTGACATTTTTAATTTTGTCACTAATAAAAGTTAAAAAATTTGAAAATGGGGATATTATTTTCTTCTGAAATTTTTTCTTTTCAGTAACAATTCTCTGCGCATTTCAATAACCTGTTCAATAAAATATCTATTATAAATCAATACAAAAATCTGTTCATTTTTTATAAACATCTCAATCGAATTTCAGCACTATCCACAAAAAACGTCTACTAATATCCACAAAAATATAATATCAACCGCATGCGGATTACCAAACACATCTTCTTATATCCAACAACAAATATCTACTAATATCAACAAAAATAAAATATCAAGGGAGAATTACCAAACATGCCTTGTAATACCAACAAAAATATAAAATTTACAACACAACCAAAATACATGTAGGGTAATATGAACAAAAACACAAAATGAGCTACCACCTGCCCTCCAAATTACCAAACATGTCCATATCAAATCTCGAATCTGCAAAAAAATGAAACACACACACACAAAAAAAAAAAAAATACAAGTTAGACAATTATTATCTTATCCATAAAATATACAATTTAACATGGATTTCTCGAATTAGTTTTCAAACCGGGAGTCCCGTGCTAGTTCCGTAAGTTTTCAAAACTCACATTGGTCCCTCCCGAGGTGTTTGAGGTGTTCTCCAGGCCGTCTTGTGGCTGTTGCGCACAATTTTGGCCTCCAATGGCTTATTTTCAAGCTTAAATGTGAAAAAGTGCATTTTTCGACTTAGTTTTCAAACCGAGAGTCCCGTGCTGGTTCTGTAAGTTTCCACAACTCACATTGGTCCCTCCCGACGTGTTTGACGTGTTCCTTGAGCCGTCTCGTGGCTGTTGCATGATTTTGGCCTCTAGTGGTCTATTTTGAAGCTTAAGTGTGAAAAAGTATATTTTTTGACTTAGTTTTCAAACTGGGAGTCCCATGCTAGTTCCGTAAGTTTTCACAACTCACATTGGTCCCTCTTGAGGTGTTTGACGTTTTCCTCGGGCCGTCTCGTGGTTGTTGCACGATTTTGACTTCCAGTGGCCTACTTTTCAAGCTTAAGTGTGAAAAAGTGCATTTTTTGACTTAGTTTTCAAACCGGAAATCCCATGTTTGTTCCATAAGTTTCCACAACTCACATTGGTCCCTCCCGACATGTTTGACGTGTTCCCCGGGCCATCTCGTGGCTGTTGCACGATTTTGGCCTCCAGTGGCCTATTTTGAAGCTTAAGTGTGAAAAAGTGCATTTTTCGACTTAGTTTTCAAACCGGGAGTCCCGTACTAGTTCCGTAAGTTTCCGCAACTTATGTCGGTCCCGCCCGACATGTTTGAGGTATTCCCCGGGCCGTCTCGTGGCTGTTGCACAATTTTGGCCTCCGATGGCCTATTTTTCAAGCTTAAGTGTGAAAAATTGCATTTTTGCACTTAGTTTTCGAACCGGGAGTCCCGTGCTAGTTCTGTAAGTTTCCACAACTTACTTTGGTCCCTCCTGAGGTGTTTAAGGTGTTACCCGAGCCGTCTCATGGCTGTTACACGATTTTGGCCCCCGAAGGCCTATTTTCAAGCTTAAGTGTGAAAAAGTGCAATTTTGGACTTAGTTTTCAAACTGGGAATCTCGTATTAGTTCCGTAAGTTTCCACAACTCACATTGGTCTTTCCCGACGTGTTTGAGGTATTCCCCAGGCCATCTCGTGGCTGTTGCACGATTTTGGCCTCTGATGGCCTATTTTTCAAGCTTAAGTGTAAAAAAGTACATTTTTCGACTTAGTTTTTGAATCGGGAGTCCCGTGCTAATTCCGTAAGTTTCTATAACTTACTATGGTCCCTTCCACAGTTTTGTGGTGTTACCCGGGCCATCTCGTGGCTGTTACACGATTTTAGCCTCCGATGGCCTATTTTTCAAGCTTAAGTGTGAAAAAATACATTTTTGGACTTAATTTTCAAACCGGGAGTCTCGTGCTAGTTCCGTAAGTTTTCACAACTTACTTTGATCCCTCCCGAGGTGTTTGAGGTGTTACCCAGGCCGTCTCATGGCTGTTACAAGATTTAGCTCTCCGATGGCCTATTTTCAAGCTTAAGTGTGAAAAAGTTCATTTTTGGACTTAGTTTTCAAACCGAGAGTCCCGTGCTAGTTCCGTAAGTTTCCACAACTCACATTGGTCCCTCCCGAGGTGTTTGAGGTGTTCCCCAAGCCGTCTCATGACTGTTGCACGATTTTGGCCTCCGATGGCCTATTTTCAAGCTTTAGTGTGAAAAAGTGCATTTTTCGACTTAGTTTTCGAACCAGGAGTTCCGTGCTAGTTCCGTAAGTTTTCACAACATACTTTGGTCCCTCCCGAGGTGTTTGAGGTGTTAACCGGGCTGTCTCGTGGCTGTTACACGATTTAGCCCTCCGATGGCCTATCTTCAAGCTTAAACATTGAAAAAGTGTATTTTTTTACTTAGTTTCATGCCTACGTGTTTGGTACACTAATCACTGGAATGAAGAGAAATAAAAAGTCATTCCATCAAAATGTTAATTCCCATGTTTGGTTGACTAAAAAAAATAATTAAAAATGGGATCATCATAATGTGCAAAGTACATCAACGCCATGAAATTGCTGACCAAAAACAAATTAAAAAACAAGTTAAGAAAATTTAAATCCAAAAGGAACAATGCATCTAAGGTCAGTCAGTCAACAAAGAAAGCAAGACAAGGAAGTGAAATATGGCAATAAAAGTAAATAGTTGTAACTGACAAGATCCAAATCTAAGATTCACAAGCAACGGAAGGTCGTGTGGATTTGTATGAATTTAAGAACATGACAAGGGAAGTATAATATTTATAGATATGAATGATAGTGGTCATATTTGTGCATCTGCATCAATATACACACATATTTGATGACAACTTCTATGAACAAATGAAGATGTCAACGAAAGGATATGAATTTATTTAATTTAACTGAGTCTATAACCCTTGACAGAGCAGCATGACAAAAATGATTCATGTAGCCAACCCAACTTGATTGGGACACAAGGCTTAGTCTGGTTTGGTTTGGTTCCTGTTGTTACAATAAATTACTATGTGAAAGTAGTATTTTTCTCTTATTAAAGATGAAGGGTCAAAGAATGTTTGTACGCAAAGTTGCTGATGGCTGAGAAAAGGTATAGGTGTGGTGATGATAGCGATGACAGTAGAGGAAAAAAAGAGGTGGCCCTTGGCAGTGACAGACATTGAATAAATAAAGTGGTGTTGATGATGACAGCAATTAAAATATTGAACTTTAAGCTTATTTTAGAACAACATTTCAGGAATCATTACTTAAGGATCCCAAAAATCACCTTTCATAAGTTTCTTCTTCACATGAATTTCTAGATGAAGAAAGCCAATCCACGTCCCAAAAATTTGAGCAGTGGAATGAATCTCGATGTCCATACAAACAAACATGATATTTTCCAGATATTGGTTCTGCTGCATATCTAGAAAAAGCTGCCTACTAGACATGGAGGGGGTATACCTACACAAGACAACCAATTAATTAGAGAAATGTTGCAATTATTAAATTATGTAAGTGTACAATGTGAGATATAATTGGCCATCATATCGCACACCACACCACATGTTCAACACTAATTGACACACAAACAGTGACTTGAACTTCCAAGAGGAGTCAAGCTATGCATGCAAAACAATACTAGAGAGACATTTTAAATATAATATGTATTCAATACAATATTCAAGCTTCAAATGTTTATCATATATGATAAGCTCATTTGGTATTTAAAATTACTCATTCAATTTTCAAAAGACATTCTAAATGGTAATCAAAATCCACATGTTTTTGTTAGATGATACTTTAACAGTTTCAAATTCATCATTCATATCATCTAGGTAGATTATTTGTCCACTCATGATGAATCCAGCAAGTTAAAGCTTTAGTGCAGCTACACTTTCTGAATTTCATCAACTTTATGGTTACTTGGGCATTTGGTCTATAAGAGCTCCACATCTGAGCCAATCCAGTCCAATTGGCTAGTCCAAACTGGTTTTTTGACAAATTGACGACTTTGGAACATTATATTTTATCAGAGCCTTTCTACTTTATTCTTCAAAGAATTATGTAAATTAGATGGTCAATTTTGGCCATTATATTAGCTACAATAAATCAAATAATGGGAAAGCCCAATTGCATTTGTAGAGAACAAAGTTAAATGATAAAGAAGCTCCTTCAGGTACCAGATTTAACAAAGTGATGTAAGCTCACCTTGAATAAGATAATTCACTTTCACAAGTTAAGATTTCTGGAGTTGACTCTGAAAGACCTCGCGTCTTATCAGGCAAATGCTGATTGTGATATTCATTTTGTCAAACATCAGTGGCTTCAATGGGTGAATTGCTTTCACAAAGAATGTTGTCGTCTGACAATAACCTCTTTAAAAATGTTCTACACACATACAAAATGTAGACTTATTAAACATTTTGAAAAAAACCTCATTTTGTGTCATATAGTTTAATAGATATCATATCACAAATATAATATTTCCAACATACTTACATACATAGTAATGGATGAACTTAAAAAGAGCATTCAAAGAAGATATCTCCAGTGTATAAAATTTGCAAACAATACAAATTTAGTTGACGAAACAAGAAAATGAGAAAACTTTAAGCTAAAATTGTGGAGAGGTATTTCAAAATCTAAAAGTTTAGATTTAAGTAGGACTAGGATAGACTATAAGAATTGTAACTAGCAAAACTAGAAATATGGATTAAGATAGAGTACAAATTGGTGGGTTTATAGAGTTTAACAAAGAAGTCTTCTTTAGCATTAAGTCTTTTATCTCCAACATTGCATTAAAGGAGGCATATAATTCACGAGTCTGCCGAAGCCTTTTCTGCATATTAAGCAGAGAGTGAATACATTTGGTTAATTTAGTTAAGATTGGAGGCAATATGAAATTCATAAAAGAAAATGTAACAGAACTAACCAGCCATAGTATACCACATTTCTTTAGCTAGCTGCTAGAGTTCAAAGTGATCATCAGTCAAAAGTAACCTTGATTCTCAACAAGTACAATACAATTCTAGAAGTCAGCAACCATGATTTAATGGTATAAAAATAGCCCCATCACCATAAAACCAAGAAAGAAAAACTTGAAAGAACTATATGGGATAGGAAACAAATTAACCTGGAAGCAAGATAAGCCTTTGATGTCATCTTTAGTGACAAATAGCCATGCTCAGCAACGGTTCATCCAAAAACCACACTCAAATCAAACCAATTCCATTGTTCCACAGTCGGTCATTAACCAAGACAAAACTGACATTGAACTCTACTACAATTGGCCAAAACAATTGAGGACTTGCGTAAATCTCATTTCACATCCAATATCCATTATGAAGATGCTAGAAAACCCTAAAGAAGAACAAAAAGAGTAAAAAATAAATTTTCCCACTTGATGTAGAATCTATTTACGACTTAACTCCAACAAGACAAAATTCCTAAACAAACGAATCAAATTGTAACTTAAAAAAATTACAACCCAACTCAAGATAGACCTCTTAGAATAAAATGACTTTAACCAAAAAACCCATTATAAGAAAACAGAAACTTTTATGAGCATATAAATCCAATAAAAATTAAATTAATCAATTTGCTTCCACCACCATAAAGTTTCTAAACAAAAGCACTGAAAATCCCAGAAAAGGCGTCTAATCCAGTCAAAGAGTTGAACTTTCAGAATATAAAGACTAACGAATTATAATAAATTCAAGCTGATGAGACCAATTAAACTCCAATAACATCTTCCATGATAAAATAAATAAAAAACAAAAAAAATAAAAACACAAAACAAACCAAAAAAAATAGAAAAACAAACTAACTCCACCACCAAACATTGCACTAATACATCCAGATTAGCAATAGCATCAAAGTGGTTATTCAGAAAGAAAAAGGGGCAGTGTAACTTACAAGTCACTTATCACGAGCATAGAGGACAGTATTTAACATATTCTCAAACAATAAAAAATATCCCATCCACTCTGAAATAATGATATCCACTCGAGCAACTGGAAGCTCAATTTCCTCAACTTTTCCACTTGATTTGCCTGTATGAAATTTTGTTCTTGCTCCCCCGGAATTTCCATATTGGCCACATATATTTGGGATTTTCTTCATTTAAGATAATGAATATGAGATTGTCAAATAGGAAAAAGTTGTGTGTATAACTTTGTCTCTCTCAACAAAAATTCTCGCGTAGCCTCCCTAAAGCAAGTGATTGTTTTCTATCTCAAATGATACCTACCCATTAGGTGGTTTTTATGTGGATCAGTCTTGTTATTGAACAGTTATGAATGCCAAATACCCACATTGAAAGTGTACTGATAAACCAGTAAAATGTCCCAAATAAATCCAGAAATTGTATACACAGTGAATACAGAAAGTAGTGATAAAGATCACATACAGTAGGCACATCACTGCCAACACAAGCAATGGAAGCTGCCTTCACTCCTGCTCGAACACCCTCTGCAAATTCCAGAAACACCATTCAATAGCAACCCATGATCTATAAAAAAATAATAGCATTGGTCAAACTAAACCCATGAACCATACATAATTTCTGGTTTTCTTATCAACCAAACACTCAAAAACTAGTCAGAAACAAACCTTGAGTGTACCGGCGTGAATTCAGAATCTTTTGATCCTCAGCCGGTGAAGCAATCAAAGGCGAATATCTTCAGTTTGCCCAAGCGTCCCTCATCGTCGATGGAATTCCCATTTCGGTCTCGGATTTTTGAAGCTCTGTTTCGATTAAATTGAATAGAATAAACATCGAAATCTGAGAGGATTAGAGAAAGTTTGAAGGGGATTGAGGAAATGAGAGTATTTCGGTTTCTTACAATAAATAAATGAATAAATCTAGGACCAACTCTCGTTTGAAAAAAACAAAAACATAATAGAGTGAACATGTGTCTTTTTTACGGTGGCACTAAAGATGGAGTAGCTAGGGTAGAGAGCAAGGAGGGCAGAGAGTGAACATGTGTTTCTCAATGTCTGTCCATCTTCCTACTACTACCAATACCATCTTTCTCAAACTTCTTCCTCTTTCCATCCCCGAAGTCATCATAGTCCGACTTTCCCCTCACAAAATCCCTTCTTCTCCATCATCCTCTTCCCTGATTCCAAAATCAGGAGTGCTCTCCTCAGCCGTCATGTTCTTCTTGAAGAGTTGTTTCTGAGGCTTCGGCTTCACATCCGAATCGTTGTAAATTGGGGTCGAAGAGGGGCTTTGAGGGAAATCGAAGGGCCTTGTAGAGATGATGGAAGTTGATGATTTGAGAGTGGTTTTGAGAGAGAGAGAGCCTTTTTTCTTTCTCTTCAAATAGGAATTTTCTCTCAAATTAGGGCTCAAAATGGTGAAGTGAAGTAGATCAACACTGGGAAGATTGAGGGGGAAAGGACAGATCAGAGACAAGAAGGGTGAGGATGTAAATCGGCAATGGAGGAGCATCGATGGTAAGAGTTCTATTCCATCAGTTGCTTTCATTAATGTTGGGACTGAAGATGTATATGTTATTTTTCTTATATATATATATATATATTGGTGAATTGGCGCCACAAAATTTCATTTTGGTGCCTTTTATATATATATCATACAATTCACGATATGTATTGTGCGCCGTAAAAAGGTAATATTCTTAACGGCAGGCGATGTGTGCGTTGTAAAAAGTGTAATACTTTTAATGATGAGCAATTTGCTTCCACCACCATAAAGTTTCTAAACAAAAGCACTGAAAATCCCAGAAAAGGCATCTGATCCAGTCAAAGAGTTGAACTTTCAGAATATAAAGACTAACAAATTATAATAAATTCAAGTTGATAAGACCAATTAAACTCCAATAACATCTGCCATGATAAAATAAATAAAAAATAAAAACACAAAACAAAACCAAAAAAATAGAAAAACAAACTAACTCCACCACCAAACATTGCACTAATACATCCAAATTAGCAAAAACATCAAAGTGGTTATTCAGAAAGAAAAAGGGACAGTGTAACTTACAAGCTACTTATCACGAGAATAGAGGACTGTATTTAACATATTCTCAAACAATAAAAATATCCTATCCACTCTGAAATAATGATATCCACTTGAGCAACTGGAACTTCAATTTCCTCAACTTTTCCATTCAAAACTGTGATAACTTTGGTAATTAAAATGAGAAAATATAAAAAGGCCAAATCAGTTAAGAAGTAAAAGCAAAAACTGGGAAAAAAAATTATGAAATTCATTATTCCTAGTGACATCACCATCTGAAAAGCCGTTTACTTTAACAATCTCTTGTGCCATGTTTTGCCCCTACTTTTGCATAAAAGAGTGACAAAATTCCAGTACCGGCACCCACATCAAGGACTATTTTTTCCTTGAACAAGAAATTATTCGGATGCCTACCAACGGTTATGTACCGTGTAGCGCCAACCGCAGGGCCTCAAAAGAGACGGTAAAAAAATAGGGCCTTGCCCGAATCCCTCCTCACACCAAACCACCTAGGGTCCGAATACAACCGCTCCGTTCAAGGGTTCCGAAAACCACTTGCGCAAGTTTTAACCTCGAATAGGGAACGCATCCCAACAAATCATATATCACATTTTCTCATCTTTTCATTACTCAAGTGTTCGAAAACCCAATACCCTCCCAATTAGGTTCCCCGTTGAGTTAAATGTTTTACATCAAGGTTAGACAACTTATAAGACAATAATATCCATATAAGCATGCATTCTTAAGATGAGAAAGGTAAATAAAATAACCACAACACATATATTATCAGGTCAATACATGATGATAAGCTACAACAATCTCATGAACTCAAAGGTACAAAACATCCATACCTAACAAAATTTCCAGATTTAGTATCGCATAAAGATTAAAACGAAAGAGCTATTTTAGATCCTTTATCGGGCTTGGCCTTCCTATGATTTGTAGAGGATTCAATTTAGTTTCTAGAGCATTTTTCGGAATTGGGGTTGCTCTTCCAGATTCTAAGTTGTTTAGAAAATATTTCAGCGCTGTCCAGGGTCTGTCCAGAATCTGCCCAGTTCTGTCGACTGTTACGAAAACTTGATTTTCTTGCAAACCGCTCAATGTTTTTCGATGAAACCAATTTTATTTGAAAGCTAACTCCTTAAGGAAGGTTTTTACATAAAATAGAGGTTCAGAATATTTTTTTACATTTTTCTAGAATTTTTGAAAGTTGACTACAAAAAAACAAGTTTTAAGGTAGAATGTCCGAAACAAGAAAATTTATAAAAAGGGGGTTCCACCATGGGAAAGTTTCATTTCTTTTGTGAAGAAAATATTCTAACTATCACATGTTTAACTCAGAAAATTTGTTTGAGAGAGTAACCTTGAAAAGTTGAGAGATGTGTACAAAAGAAGATGGTTTTGTGCCAAAATCGGTAAAATACATGAGAGATGGAAATAATACTCAAATCTTAGTATTTTTAACATAAGAACATGATAATAACAGATCTGAAACATCACTTAAAACTTTTAAAATGAACATGCATTAGAAAAGAAAATGAAGAGAAGGTTGTGTTGGTGGCTTACCTACTAAGCTTTGCACAAGAAACTCTCTTCTTCTTCCCTCTCCTCCTCTAGACTTTTCTTCCTTGCTCTCCTCCCTCTCTCTAACCAAAATGTGTGTGTGAGTGAGTGTGTTGTGTGTATTTGCAAGCTAGGGGGGGTGTGTTGATATTTATAGGCAGACTTTTGAGGCAAAAAGTCCTAAAAGCCCCTTAGTTGGATATGGATGGAAAGGTTGGGATTTGTTTGAATTCTAAAGGAATGGAAGGGATTTGGGAGGCTTGTTCAATGGTTTAGGCAACTCCTAGTTGTAATGAAATTAGTTCTTGGATTTTGCATCCTAGGTCTAGGTCACTAGGTTGTTTTTTTCCTAGAATTTCATGATGATGTGCTTTGAAAAATGGTTTCCTTACTTTCTCCTAGAAGGGGCTATTTTTTATTTATCTATTAATTTTAGGCTCTAGGACACAAGGTGTATATATATATATATATATATATTACAAGATTGATGGTACTTCAAGGTACAAGGTACAAGTACTAGTTCTTGGGTAAGTTTAGAATTTAAATAAAGAGTGAGGGCTTGGAGTTAAATACATGTAACTTATGTAGAATTGAATTAGGTTAGGGAATCTAATCTAGCTAGAAAAATTCCTGTTTTGCTAAAAAAATAAAAAATAAAATGCTAACCGACAAGATTTGAAATAATTCAAGTAACCGAGGGGCTTTAAGAAAATAATTCAAACATTAGGGTCTTTAAAGTGAATACATATTTCAGGGGCTTCACAGGGCACAAGTGTTCTCTAAGATTGATCTTAGATCCGAGTATCACCAATTAAAGGTTAAAGTAGAGGACATTGAGAAAACAGCCTTTCGAACTAGATATGGGTACTATAAGTTTTTGGTAATGCCATTTAGGCTAACAAATGCACCTACTGCCTTTATGGATCTAATGAACAGAATCTTTAAACCGTTTCTTGATGTATTTGTTATTGTGTTCATAGATGATATCTTGATTTATTCCAAAAGCTGAATTGAACATGAAAATCATTTGAGAATGGTGCTATAGACTCTGAGAGAAAAGAAATTGTATGCAAAACTGTCCAAATGATTCGCCCGTGATGCGTTTTCAGTCCTAGGGCTTAATTTGCGATTAATCGACGAATTAAGGGCTTTATTATAATAATTCAAAATTTAGGGATCTAATAAGGTTTACAAAAAAGTCAGGGGCCTCACAAGCGTTGTGTGTGCCGTGAAAAGTATTCACTTTTCATGACCGGTGTATGTGCGTCATGTATAATTAATGTATTAAAGACATTCCATATGCTCGTCGTAGAAAGTTTTATTATTTACGGCGTGCATTGCAAGCTGCAAAAAAATCATTGTTATTACCATTCACGACCTACGCAATAGACACGACGTGGCTGGAAAAGTATTTACGACGTGCAAAAAAAAACAAGTCGTAAAAGTGAGAAATTACGACATGCATTTATTGTATGCCATTGATGTTGTGCCGTAAAAAGTTAGTTTTATTGTAGTGAACCCCTTCGATTGCGTCTCCCCAATTTCAGAGAATGGCTGCTGGTTTGCGATAGTGATATCAATGGCGGTGGTCATCGTGTACTCATGTACCGATGGTAGTGGAGAGAGAGAGAGAGAGAGAGAGGGTGGAGGAGAAGGAGGGCGTGACAAAGAGACACAGGAGTGATAGAGAGAGAATAAGAAGCACTTTTTTTTTTTGTTTTTTTTTTTTTGGGTCCATTAGCCACGACAACAAAGGCCATGGCAAAAAAAATCTTTTTGCGACGGGGATAGAAAGCCGTCTAAAAAAAAAGGTCTTTTACGACGGTTAATGGTTTGCCATCGCAAAAACCATCCAACATATCATTTCCTCTTTTCGAGACAGGAATTGCTGTCGCAAAAAGTGGCCATTAGCGATGAGATATTAATCGTCACAAAAGGTTACTTTTTGCGACGGAAAATATACCGTCGCTAAAAGTTTCGTGTCATATACCCATTTTTCTAGTAGTATTAGGGTTGGGTGTGAAGGTATATGCGAATCGAAGAAGACATAGAGAGGAAGACAGAGAGAGACACACACACACGCACATAGAGAGAGAGGGCGAAATAGAGGACATACCTTCTCGAGACAAAGCGACAGTGGTGCTAACCCTTACGATGTGCTCGTCTAACTCTTGTGTTGTGCTCATTTAACCCTCGCAAATAGAGGCGTGAGGCGTGAGAGAGAAGAGACACAAAGGTGTGAGGCGTGAGAGAAGAGAAAGGGAGACAGAGAGTGAGAGAGAGTGACTGAGGTAGACAAAGCAAAAAATAGACCGTGAGTAAGAGAGAGACAGATCGAGAGTGAGAGAATACCTGTGAGGATGTGGCGGTGGTGATCTGCGGACGGGGGTGGTAGTGGTGGGGGTGGCGGTGGCGAGCGGCGTTGGTGGTGTGCGCTGAGGTGAGGTCATGTAGGGTGAGGTTTGGTGGTCAAATCTGTGTGTGAGAAGAAGAACTGATATATCTAAGGCGCAAATATATTCATTTCCCTCTAAAAACCTTTAGCAACTCAACCATTTATTTGGTGACAAGATTATTTCCTCACTAAAAGATAAAATTATTAGCCACGAAAATAGTTTTCTCACTAAATAATATTAAAATATTAAAAATTATTGGTGACGAAAATATATTCGTCATTAATAATTTTATTATTGGTGACCAATATTTTCCTCACCAAAAGTCTGAAAGTTTTGGCGCCATCTGAAAAATTAGCGAAAAAATCTTTATTGACAAAAAAATATAAATAATAACGAAAAATAATTTCGTCACCTAATTTTTTTATTATGTATGCAGATAGGTGACGAAATTTTATTTTTGTTTCTAACAATGGTACATTTGGAGACGAAAAATTATTTTCTTCACTAAAAGGTATGTCTTTCGTGACAAAATTTATTTTTGTCATTAGTTTT